AATTTTGAAGTAAAAAAAAAAAGCGTCGTAAAATAGTAACACTTTTCTTTGTCATGAAACCGTCAATGAACTACCATCTCCTTGTCTCCACCAACACCAAGATTTCACTACAAGTCTGGGGCATGTTTGCGAGCTGGTACACACAAAAGGGGAGTTATCGGTTCCGTAAGAGCCAGGCATGCAGGGACCCGGTGATTCTGGGATTTGTTAGTCTTTCTAGTTGCATATGTAACGCAGCCATGCACATGCTAAAGTTTGGTTATAAAAAAAAAAAAAAAAAATCATAATTTCAAAGATTATTGATTCGAAAATAATATGATACGTACTTTACGTCTGGGTCTCTGTGTTTCATTAAAGCTTGGCTTGTGTGTGTGTGGAATGACCATTTTGGTGCGTGAGCGAGCGAGAGAGGAGAGAGAGAGCGCAACGGTACCGGAGATCGTTAGTTGGTTAGCTTCTGGTGCTAGCGAGCTACGCTCGTGAAGAAGGAGTTTTTTCAACACAAAGTGGAGGAGAGTCCTCTCCTGTCAGACTGACAGGCTCAGTGAACTAAAAGGCTCTCTGAGTGTTTAGATAGTTAACTTTAGTTTAAGTTATCTCGAGTGGGTTTAAAACATTTTGGTCACCATTAATGTATGGTGGAATCTAGGGTAATACTCCTTGGGAAGGATTAGGAATTGGAGGCAACAATGTAAACAAAAGCATCAAAAAACGAACTACTATAACAAACCAAAATAAGGAAAACAAACAGTAAGAACAAACAGCGAGGTGGCGGACAATTCTATAAAAGAACAACGCGCATGTTACAGAAAGGCCGCCATAAAACATTATCTTTGTAAAAACCCATGATCGGTCATACTTATGTCCCCGGACGGCGCAAGGCCCCTCACCCCTAGATCCCACCGGTCCGTCTGCGTCGCGTTACGGCCGCGCCAGTTCGAAAAGATCGCCGGCCTTCTTTATAGGTCAATGAGGTGCTTATTCCACCAGACGCGCCGCGTTACGCCCAGAAGCAGACCTGCGCAATTGTGATCGCCGCCTTGCTAGTGCGTTCTTCTCTTCTTCTCTCTTCTTTTCTTTAATGGCGAATCGCTTCCACTGGAGCATATATCGCCACCTACTTGTTGAGTTATTAAATGTTCATACTAAATCCTGTCCTCAGAGCCAGTGCTTTGAGGAATTTGAAGATCAGCTTGTTTGCTTCATTTCTTGATTTACTTTCAAATATTGCTTTGAAATCCAGTCCTTTATGTGAGTTGTCCAGTGCAGTTTTCAGAAAGAATCTTTGTCTGTTATAATCCGGCAGCTAAAAAATACATGATGTATTGTCTCTGGTTGTTGGCACCATCACAATTGCCATTGGATGTTTTTCCAATCAGATCATTATGATGAGTTTAGTCCAGAGTGTCCCAATTTGTATCCTGCTGTTAATGCTCTGCTCTCTTCCTACTACTCCCCCAAGTGCTTCCTGTCCCTACTTCCCTTGTATCTGATATAAAATTTGTTCTTTTTTTTTTCCTTTGGTGTTACGTCCCATAGTTTTTGCCATTGTTGCTTGATAACCACTTTTGAAAAAATTTGACTTCCTGCTCTACTTGATGGGTACCATAATATCAATCTGGTTTTGCTTTCAAACCACATTTTGCCAGTTGATCCACTACTCCATTCCTTCTAATAACCCACATGCGCTGAACTCACACAAATTGAAAACAACAAATTCCCAGATGAACTAACCTAACATGCTTTGTAAATTTCATGTAAAATATCCTGACGACATCTGAAGAGAAGTTGTTTATACTCTCCAGAGCTGCACTGGAGTCCGAGCAAATGACCACTCGCATTGGCTGTATTTCCTCTACCCCAGGGTGTCCAAAACCTTCTTTTCCACCGAGGGCCCACATACAGACAAATGTACGAAAGGGCTTTGGCCACTCACTAGAAGGTATATCGCCTCATAATTCAGTTATAAGTTGGGAAAAATCTATCCAATGTAGGGTTAAATTATTCTGATACTTGAAAAAGCTGTTAGAAAAAACATGAATACAGTTTAATATATTTGAACATATATATTTAAGTAGTACAATATAAGAGAAGCAGAAGTTCATTATACTTCCTATTCATTATACTTTTTGAATTTGCTAAGGGCCGATTCAAAATGGTCCGCGGGCCGCATTTGGCCCCCCGGGCCGTAGTTTGGACACCCCTGCTCTACCCACTGAAGTGCTACATTTTTCATCATTGTTCTGCAATGTTTATCATCATGAAATTAATATCGATATATTTTATACTATACTTGCACTGCTTAATTTGTATCATACTTGTTTCCTCCTCTTTCCTCAACTGTTGGGGAAGTGTTTAAGCTTCAAACAGCCTGAAAAACATCAGCTTCAAAACTTGTTTGAGTGGCTGATCCATACAAATATTATTCAAAGAGACTTTCACTGCATTAATCATAGAATGTATATGCGTGGAGGAGGAGAGGTTAAGATTGACATAAATAAATAGACGGAGATAGAGATCGGATTGGAGTGAGATTTGAAAAAAGCATGCTAGCTTCAGAGTTTTGGTTTGCAGAATGGAAGGCAGAGACTTTTAGGCCCCCCTGTCAAAGTCTGGGACTCCACTGCAGTGAGCGGGCTAACTTTCTCATATAAGCCTTGGCCTGGAGCCATGAACTCAAATATTTCAGTCACATTCGCTGAAGCTGAAGAAAAAAATGCCTTATTACTTATGATCAAAGGGTGGTGTTTTCTGGAGGAGACATGAAGCGTCTACTAGAATATGCATTACGAGTCAAAGGCGGGTCATTTTAAGTGAAAAGACAGACATCCAGAACCGGCGGGGATTCGTTTTCTGCTCACTTCCTTTCAAGGCTGTTTACATGGGTAAACATACATGGAAACTAAATACGAGTATTAAAAAGGAAGTGGT